CATAGCAAACATAGTTTACCATACAGCAAATAAATCAAATGAAAGTAACATCTGTAAAATAGTGAATGCACACTTACTCTAAGATTCTGAATGGAGTTGAAAACTGAACGAGCATCCCCTTCCTGTGAGAGATGCAGGTGAAGGCAAGAGTGGTGTATTCAGTCCTAAAAGAATTTTATATACAATTGTTAGCATTTTGTTCCCACAGTACCTTAGTATAGTATGCATACTTCATAAGAAAACAGAATGCCAATTACAAAGGAACAACATTCTAACACTAACAACAACAAATAATATTACCATATAGTCTTAGGCATAATAAAAGTACAATTACTATACTGTGCACTTACTCAGTATGATTTTCCAGCGAACTCAAAACTAAACGACACGTGTGCCTTTCTTGTGCAATTATGCGAGTGATGTCCACAGTCCTAAACAAAAACTGAAACAGTTGTTAGCAATTACCAGAAGATGCATAGCTGATAAATAAATTGCATCACTGATAAGAAAGGACGCGCGTATATGTCTGTCGATGCATCACAACAACAAATAATATTACCATATAGTCTTAGGCATAATAAAAGTACAATTACTATACTGTGCACTTACTCAGTATGATTTTCCAGCTAACTCAAAACTGAATGACACGCGTGTGCCTTTTGCCAATGACCGAGTATAAAACATTCAAAACATTTACACCAGAGCAGATATTTGCGAACAGAAGCTAAACATAAATTATTATTGTTACGCACACTATAAAGATCTTCGCGAGCAAAGCCTATGGTAAAGTTTAGTCTAAACATTCTTACTGTAACATTATTAACATTATAACTCATATTACTTTTATATCGCTGCTGTCTATTTTATAGAACATTAAAAAAAACATTCTGGTGTTGTGACACATTAGATGCAGTGAATGAATCTTCATAATGTTTCACTTGATTATACATTTAGTCAGGAATCATGGTTTGAAAAAAGTCTTAACTAGTAAAATATGTACAAGTTATGTCACAGTAACACAATAACAACTAATGCAAGTAGGCTAATAAAAAACTACTTACTGGTGTAAATGATATCCTCCACTGGATATCAAGCCGACCGCGTTCTTCTGAGGAAAATCCAAAAATTTTTCCTCTCAGCGCGTCTTAATCTGAGGAAAATTCTGTCTCATTCCTCTTAGTGCGTCTCCTTCCAGAAACGAACAGTAGACGAGATGAACTTGAGGAAAAGTCTCGCTGCTTTGTTTGCCGTGATGTGGGCGTTTACACGCTGCACGTCTCACGTGGACTATTGTAATATCAAAAGCGCGATCGGCTCGTGGGCGTGATCTAATTAGAGATAATGAAGGCAGACGGGCAAGACTTGACATTGAGTTGGGGTTTCATACTGATTACTTTGTCACATTATTATGTGTCATCAAATGTTATTATTTGTTTTCAACACGACTTTGTTTAAAACTAGACATGTCAAGCTTTCTATAGATATATCTCTCATGTACGTGTCTCAAATATTCGCTGAGCTTCATTTCATTCTGGTTTAATTCAGTTTATTCCACTCATACAACTCCTGCAATTATACTCTATGCTTTGAAGATGAATCTCTCGTCATCCATTTCTAACCTCCTAAGAAGTATATAGTGATGTGAAATACGATCTGGAGTCTGCACAAGGCATTTATTTTGAAATTGATAGGATTTTTTTACTTTTATTTTGTATTTGCTATGCGGCTTGGACGCAGTGTCTGTCAAAAATAGGCTAGGCGCCTATCTTTAGCGAAGCAGTAAACCAACAGCCAAGTAAACCAAGTAAACCAACAGCACCCCCTAAATAAAACACCTTACCGGACAGGCATTAGGACCTGGGGGATGCTGCCGCACCGGACGTGTCATTCTGTACATGCGTTCTCAAATTCAATGCGGCGATCCAAAACAGTGAATCTAATCATTATTCAGGAAAAGGTTTACTTCAAGAATGACCACACTGCTGACGTGATCTTATCGCTAGCACACCCTGAGCACATGTGAGCTACTCCCCCTATCCGGCAAGACATATCGGCATAATTTTTCAAATCAGCACTATATTATCGGAACATTATCGGAATCAAATTCCAATAATGTTCCGATAATATAGTGCATCCCTAGTTTAAAAGGCTTGAATGTTTACATCGGCAAGACTTAGAAAGACATGCAAATGATCAACTACGATCAGTTTCACCCCTACTGTAAGTGAGTAAACAACGCAAATCAAGGAAGGGATTTATATCACTATTTCAGATAGCCCGTGGGGCAGGGCGCCGATATATTTTGGTAGCCTGACTGGAAAACACAACAGCCCAAGGACGTCGGGCTAGCAATTTTGCGAGCCCTGGTCCTGCAGAGTTCAGCTCCAGCTTGCCTCAACACACCTGCCTGGAAGTTTCTAGTATGCCTAGTAAGAGCTTGATTAGCTGGTTGAGGTGTGTTTAACTGGGGTTGCAGCTGAACTCTGCAGGACAGTGGCCCTCCAGGAGCAGGACTGGACACCCCATGATCTACACAGTGCACAAGCGGAACATTTCAGCCTCCTGTTTTTAATCTTATAAAACCCCTTTATGCACTACTTGTAGTCCAAGGCCTTCACTTCATATGGCTTTGATATTAATCTATAGTGGGTATAAAAAAGAATCAGCCCCCTTTAAAATAATCACATGTTGCTTTGCAGCCTGAAATTAAGACGGACAGAGTTTTTTTTTTTATCCAGCTGTATTTACTCAGTGCAACTTATAACATCCAAATGAAAGATATAACACCAACACGTCAGAAAAAAAAATCAAAAGCCAGAATTTGGACAGCCCTAAACTCAGCACAAGAAACATTACGTGTGCTGGGCTCGAAGCGGCGCTGCTCAGACATCAAAGCACCACAAGAGCGATTCGAAAGCTTACGCTGCTCTCTTTTCAGTTTCAGTGGCTGCAGCAAACATGAATATTCATGAGTTTCCCAGGACATGCGTGTGTAACTGAAAATTTTAGTTTACGTTCTCGGCAGGTTTAATGGAATATTTAGAAAAAGGTAAATATATTTTCAACGTTGCGCAAACTTATGCCTAAACTACTTTTGTTCATCGTAACAGTATATAATGTTTTTATTAGTTTGCACGTTTTGTGCAGCCGTTCCTGACTGAATGATTGCAGGCATTCTTTGTGTAATGTTAGGATAAATTCCAGCAAACTTCAGCTAGTTGTATAGATTGATTTCAGTTCGTTGTGCTCTGTATTTGTAGCT